AGCGGATGCTCTCGAAGACCTCACCGCGCAGGCTCGCGCTGCCCTGCCAAGCTCGCGATGCTGCTGTCGCATGCATGCATGTGATGTCTACACGTTGGCCGGGTGCTTGCTATTTTGCTTACTGGATTGCAGTCTCGCACGAACGCGCACCAGTAGAAGAAACATGGGAGCACATAGATGCAATTCTTCCGCTGCTGCGTCCGGTCGCCCCCGGCCTTGCCTCGCCGCAGCTTCGCCTCGCCGCGCCGCGGCTGGCCGGCACTTGCGGCACCCACGCCGCCGCCACTGCGCTCTTGTCTGGCGACGAGCCACAAGCAGCACCCGTGCACGGGCGGCGAGCGCACAACCTAGAGCACGGGCGGGGGCGTGACCAAGCTGCAGGCGGGCGTGGGGGACACGGTGAGCTGCGGGGCGGGGTGGGGCGCGTGCGGCCGGCGCGGCGAGCTGCTACTGGGAGCTTGCGGGACGCGGGCAGGCGGACGGACGACCCAAACGGACGAAAAACGGACAAAATCGACATTCGTTTGGGTCACTGCATTGAAGTTGCTCTTACTTTACACTATGAAGGTAGTAAGTTAGACTAGTGTTATATGCATGACACTAGTACTATGATCAGCCTACTAGTATCCCAATGGGGTCAGGGTACCACCATCCTTAATCAATGTAACGCGGAGTGGTGGAGACTGGTTTGCAGTAACACATCGTACGTCTCTCAACCCTACCACTAAACGATCGAGCTCTTATTCAGCTACTAGCTCCTGTATGCAAGGGCTTCTTGTGGTTAGACTAGGGCTTCTTGTGGTTCTTTGTTGATGGTGGAACGAGCTGCTCGGCGGAGCTTGCTCCTGAGGTGTTGGTTACCAGGGTTTTCGGTTTGGTCTCTGTGCCAACCTTTCCCTCTGTTTTCTTCGTTCTTTCTCTAGTTTTTGGCTCTCCTCCTGGGCGCCGTCTTCTGTAATTTTCCTTTGCACTTTGTGTGCGCCTTCATGTATTTGTACTGACTGCCAAGTCACTCTTCGAGTTGGAATATAACAAGCGGTGGGGTTTGACCCCCCCCCGTCAATCTTGAAAAAAAAAATATGGGACGGAGCTTTCAGTCGGACGAGTGGTTGCGTGAAAGTGGCAACTTGGTGTGATACGCACCATGGCGTAGGTTTGATGTGAAGTCGCGCTGCTCGGATCGAGCCACCGGCATGGGAGGAGAGGAGAGACCCAGTCGTGACGGTGCACCGATGGAGCACGTGGACCAGCGAGCCGGAGTACTACTGCTACCACCACTACAGTTAGGCTACGGTCGTGTGTCTACACTCTACAGTTAAGCTACTATTAGTGTACTGTACTGGCGAGTAGTTGAAGCTTGTCTCTTCCGCGCCCCGCCCGGGGGGCCGGTCGGAGCGGCCGGCGCCCGATGCCGCCACGTGCACCGTCACGGCGCCGGTGATGGCCCGTGCGCACGCCATGCGTGCGGCCGTAACCCGAACGGAAAACTTTCCGGCGACCTCTCCCGAGGGAGCGATGCCGTGCGTCGTCGTACGCCGGCGTGGGACGCGTGACGCACCGGAACGTCCGTGCGTGCGCTACAATACAAAAGCAGTTGCTCGAAGGCCGCTGTCGACAACGCGAGAGCACGCACCGGACTCTCCTCTCGGGCCAGCCCGGAAGGCGCCGCGCAGCTGCCGCTCATCGCTCGATCGATCGGCCTCGGCGTGGTTTCCGTGACAACTCAGGCGTGCGTGCTCCATACAGGGCATACAGCGGCGCGGTCGTTCGTATGCGCGTGGCGTGGCGCTGTCAGCGTATGCACGGGTGATAGGCACAAGACGCATGGTGATGATGATTGCGACGATGACAATCGGTTGGTGGGCTGTGGCGAGACTCGCCATGGAGTCCTAGATTGGAACCGCTGATGATGTGTGTGCGTATGATCGGCAGCGATCGTCTTCGATCGTGCGTCGAATCTTATCGCCAGTAGCAAAGCCCATCGATCGCACCGTCGAAAGTCAGGAGCACCCACACATGTCGGAAGGATGGATGCAGTACCACTAGCCCATGGATGGGGCAAGGGTCACGGAGAAGTCGATCTCACTCTCACTCACTCGTAGCCGCTTGATTCCTACTACTACTACTACATTTTTTTGAGCATCAGTACAGACACAAGCGCTCATATATACGCGCATACACTCATCCCTATGAACGCACACACACGCACATCCTATCCCTATGAACATTTTCGAAAGACTGAGCCGGCATATCATCTTGAGATTTACGAAGTTACCGTAGGCGCCTCGTCGTCGATGGAAACGTCTCCTCTCACTGAAAGCGCATCGCCGGAAATCCTGAAATAAATTCAGAAATAATGCAAGCACCAAGATTTGAATCCTGGTAGGTTAGGGATACCACTGTCCACCTAACCATCTCAATCACATATTGGTTCTTCGTAGTACTACTACTACCAAGACAAGATGTATACTACTGGTAAATTGGCTGGTAAAAATACGTTTTGAACGGCTCAATTCCGTTACAAGGGCATGGGATGGACCACGACAGTGAAGCGGCATCAATGAGACCCGGCCCAGCCCATCATTCGCTGGTCAAATGCGACCGCAACGACCGGGTAATTAATCGCGCATCTAGCTAGTCGTTGCACTGTTGCACATGGTTCGACGACCCCACTCGTCAGAAACGGTACTGTAGTAGCTTCGTACATGTTGGAGACAAGCAATGCTTCACGATGTATTGATCGGTGCATAGCACACGTATATATGAAGTACAAGGTAGGCCATAACCTTAACTATACAAAGACTAGGAGGTGGGCCAGGCTATACAATATACATGCAGGTAATGCGAGCAGCGGTGTGAACGGGGTGAGCGGCAAGAAGGTTACCGGGGTTGGCGGCCATGTGAGCCGTGGCTTCGGTGTCCATATACCAATCGCCACCGCCAGAGTACTGCTGCGGCGTGGGGGCGGTGTGGAGGGCCGCTAGGAGCGTGGAGTCTCAAGGTGCCGGCGGAAGAGCCGGGGCGGACGGCGCGGGCTGAGGCGGTGGCGCCACGTACCCACCGGCCGAGGACAACCCATAGGCCGTGGAGGGGCCGTAGAGCGGTATGAGCGGGTACAGCTGAGGGGCCGCATGAAGCGCCTGATGAGCGGCAGGGCGGGCGCCGAAGAGGCCCGGAACAGGGGCACACGGGATAGGCATGGAGTACGCGTGCACAACCCCGGTCAGGGGTTCTGGCCGGCCTGCCAGGGCGCCGGTGGGAGCTGCTGCTGGTGGTGGCGCGGTGCCCCGCCGGGCGCAGCCGGCTGCTGCTGCGGCTTGCGGCCGCCTCGGCCACGGCGGCCCCCGCGGCGCTGCTGCTGATGCTGCTCGGCGGGGGGCTACGGAGGGGCCGGCGGCTGCTGCGGGTACGGGAATCCGGGCGACGGCGGCGCTGGGAAGGGACCCGGGACGGGCCTCGGCGGGGCGGTGGGTGGCGCACCGCCGCGGGTACCGGCGGTGAGGGTGGCCCGGGTGCGTGACATCCGCATCCTCCGCTCCTCCAACTTCAGGTACACAACGATTCTCGAAAACGTCGGGTTGATGATAGGGGGGTGTTGGAGGCGGCGTTCCCAAAATCGTCGTTCAGGCCGGCGATGAGGGTGCTGAGGAGGAGCTCGTCGGAGACCTTCTCACCAAAATCACGGAGCTCGTCAACAAGCTTCTTGAGGCGCATGCAGTAATCATCAACGGATGTGCCGAGCTGCTGGCACCCAAAGAACTCGCCGTGCAAGAAAACCTTGTGTTGGAGCGCGTTGTCGGTGAAGAGGCCATTGAGCTTGGTTTAAACGGCGTGAGCATTATCGTCGGCGGAGACCACCGTGTGGAAGAGGTCCTTCGAGATGATGGTGTAGAACCAACGGATGAGAGTGGCGTCGATGGACATCCACTCCTCATCGTCCTCCATGAAGCGGGAGTCCACAGAGCCATCGATGTGATCCCAGATGTTGTACTCCCGGAACACGAGGGAGAAGTACGTCTTCCATGCATAGTATGTGGAGGTGAGGTGATCAAGGACGACGGGAACCCGGACGAGGATGTTGAGGTCGCAGATGATGACGGAATCGGGACCTTCGAACGGGTTAGTGCGGCGGCTGCCGGTGGCGTCGGAGGAGCCGGGGGAGGCCATGGGGTTGGCGGCGTCTCGCGGGGAAGCGGCGCGGCCGAGGGATGGAGGCGCGGCCGGGTGGCGGCGCGGTAGGGTGAAGGCGGGAGCGGGAGCGGCGGCGCACACGGGAGCGGCGGTCGCGGTGGCGTGGGATTATGGCGGCAACGGCGGTGGGTGGTGGCGGCGGCGGCGATGGGATCGTGGCGGCACACGGGGGTTAGGGTTAGGATCTTAGGTATGATATCATGTTGGAGACAAGAGTTTTGGCAATGCTTCACGATGTATTGATCGGTGCATAGCGTACGTACATATGAAGTACAAGGTGGACTACAACCTCAACTATACAAAGATTAGAAGGTGGGTAGGCTATACAATATACATGCACGAACCATATATTCAACAGTACAAATTCCTTCCTTGACCACAACACATGACACATCTTCTCTCTCAAACGCACGCCATGTTTGATTGTTTCCTCCAGTTATAAGAATCTGAACCGCAGACTTTCAGGGACTGTGCAGTGCACACCAGAGAAGCGTGTTATTTTTCAGAATATGAGAGGTACAGATGCCCAATTATTCGTCACATAGGTTGAGCCAATCTGCTTCCCATTCGATATGTTGAGGCAGCATAACACAGCAGGGTACATGTACATCAACGAACGACAATTCATAATTCCATTCTATCCTCCGAGCCAACAATCCAGAACGAAAATGAAACGACTGTATGTATACACCAAAAGCCGGGAAGCGCAAAAAGAAAAGCTGCCATAATGCAGCTCAAGAACTACTGTATGTCCCAAAGTAACTGAAGCGGACCATGTTACAACAAAACGTTCATTTCAAAACTTGATATCAGGCGACGGTCGCCCGCGTGGACGCCGGAAGTTCGGCGCCGGCGGCGGGGGCCTCCTCCGCCACCGTTTCCTTCTCCTTCGGGGGTTCCGCGCCCTCTGTTTCCTTTGGTTCTTCCTGTTCTTCCGTTTCAGCTGCTGCGCTCGTACCTTCCTGTTGCACAGCGGCAGTAGACAGTATGGTTCAGCAATCAGCAAGTTATTGTTTTTTTTTTTGAGGATCTCAGCAAGTTATTGTTGACATGAATATGCACACCAAAATTCTTATACTGCACTTATTATCTCGCAAAAAAATATATACCGCACTTATTAGTTGCTAGGAAGTTTAACACTTTCTTTCTGTACATATGTGGTACTCCCACCGTTCGGATTTATTTGCCCCCTTTTATTTTGAGCCAAAATTTGTCCATGAACTTTACTAATAAAATATAAACTATATGTCATCAAAACTATATCATAGAAAACCTTTTGAACTACAAATCCAAAAATATACTTTTGGTAGCATGTACTTTATATATTTTTAGTTAAACTAGCATAAATGCCTGTGCGTTGCAACGGAAAAAATCAGTTTATATTCAAGTTTATTTATAATAATATGTGCAAAAATACATTCGTTGTTCATGCAAATTTTAGTCAAATTTTTTTAAGATCCAAAATTATCGAAATAGGACATGCTAATCTTATAGAATATTTCTTTACCTACATCAACATACTTCTCCTTAAAAGAAATTAGGAACTCGGTAAAGTTTAGCCAATACCGGTCACAAAATTCGGAGAGAGATAGCATACGTTCGCAACAACTATTATATTTTTGGGCTTGTTCGAGTGGGGATATTTGGATATTTTCTAGATTTTAAAAATATTGTACTAAAATAGTGTTTGGGGCTCACCATGGTTCTTGTTAAAAACAAAGTTATATATGATATTTATTTTTTCATTAACATTCTTAGTTCAACCGACAACTCAACATGGACATAGAAAAATCCCCAGCCCAGCAGGAAGCAGGCCTTGCATTAGAATTTCAACAACTGTGGTTTTGTCGGGCGTCAAAAGCTCACAAAAAAAATTCAGGTTTAGCCCCTATGCCAAATATACTATTGTGACCTTGTGGAGTTAGTCTGACTCATTTTTTTTTTGAATGACAACTCATATTTAGCTGGGCAAGCTCATCCCCAGGCTAGCACGGCCTCAACATGTATGTGCTTGATCTTGTCTTTCAATAGGCTGCAACACGTTGGTGCGTGGCCTTATGCTGCTTCATTCTTGCCTCATGCAGTCCACCCATGCGCGGCTGGCAGCGGCTCGAAGGTCTCACACCTCTTTGAGCACACAATCACACGATTTCCCCTCAATTCGCTTTCCTTATTTACTTTTTCAAAGGTGGCATGATTTTTCCCTCGATTATTTTCCGTTTCTCGATTTCCTTTCCTTCCTTGAATTCTCCTTTCTTTATTTCTTAGGACAACTCCTTGATAACCAGGAAACTTAAAAATGTATATAAACTGGTTATATTGTGTGCAAGAAACCGAGGTGGGACTAAACAAAACCAACATTTGTGTCTCTATTTAACACAAAAGTGATGTAGCTAGATGATACATACCATCTATGGATAGACCACAGGTCATGCGTTCGAAACCCATGATGAAACACTTATTTTTTGCGTGGGCTGCCAATGTAGTTGGGCCGGTTTATAACGCGCGGCAGGCCTGGTAGCTGGGCCAGCTTACAGCGCACGGTTCAGCCGTGTTTAATTTAACGGGCTGAGGCCCAGCCAAGCGATGGGTGAACAGACCAGAAGCCAAAAACAATAGGACGAAACAAAACGGGACCAAATCAAGAATACCTATTCCCTTTAATAGTAGATATAGGTATAGATATAGATATAGATAATGGTTAAGCTTGAACCCAAAATACAAAGGGCCTAATAAACCTGGACGAAGGTAATAGTACTAGGACTTTTGAGTAATTGCTCCTAGTAGAACTTTTGAACGGTAACTAGCTTGAACTAAAATCACGATACTTATTATGGGTCAAAGGAAGTACTCCCTTCGTCCGGAAATACTTGTCGAAGAAATGCATAAAAATAAATGTATCTAGAATTAAAATACATCTAGATACATCCATTTCTCCGATGAGTATTTCCGGACGGAGGGAGTAGTAAATTGCTTCTCCCACTGGTAAACGCACCAAAATTTCTAGGAAACAAGCATTCTCCCTACAATGTACCGGCGTGAACTAGCGAAGGCCATTGGATTTCGGTTAGCTGCCTGCTCATGCATATGATGCATGTGTGATATCAGCCTTGCAAAGTGGAAAGACCCAATAGCAACCCGCGACACAGGGCGTCGTGCCATAGTGCGTCACAAAAAGAAAAAAAAATACCATATTATAAGTTGCCTGACAATAGTCATCTTTTTTAAAATGACAGTCATTTTTGTGTTGTCTAAGTTGGACATTATGATGTTTGAAGTTGCACGAAACGAAATTGTGTCTCTATAGTTGTCTAAACTTAACACTACACACGGTTAAGAATATCCAACTGCCTAGTTCTCAATTAATAAGAAATGCCCGTTTAGGATCTCCGGCTTTGAAACAATAATTTCTCGGTCACCTATATAGATAAAAGCTAAAACAAAAATGCAAAAAAATCATGAAAAAATAAAGTTTTGAAAATAAAGTAAAACCAATAGAAACAAACTCGGATCACCTTGGGCCGAGTGGCGAACGGGCCTATTCCACTCAAAGTTTGTGTACAACACACACATAAAGATCAAGCCCGAATAGAACAACGGCCCAGATCTCGCAACCACAGAGCTATATCGCCCAAACTCAAAAAACGAACCAAAAAACCTAAAAATGATCTAATGGAGGGTGAACAAAAAGACATGCACTTGCTAAACATCCAGGTGCCGGTACGCATATACTCCTACTAGCAAAAAGACTGCTGCTGGTGCCGGTAGCAGTCTAGCAGAGAAGAAAAGAAGTACTCCTACTAGATCGAATTCGGTAGAAGTTGAGAGCTGAACAAAACCTCTAGCTGCGCCGTACCTCACTCTGTTGCCCGACCACGACGTCCCGGCTAGCTTCCTCCGCGGGTGCCGGTGCCTCTTCCACCACCGCCGGCAGCGCCACCTCCTGTTCCGCGCCGGTCGCCGGTGCCGTCGGCGGCTCGGCAGGCGGGGGAGCGTCGTCGTCGCCCAGCGCCTTCGGCTTCAACCCGCAGTTCCCCATCCTTCCTTCGCCGTCTCTTGCCACGCAGCGCAAGCGCAACAGACGTGAAAGAAACGGCGGAGGAAAATTAGAAGCGTGGTGAGTGGTGACAATCGAAGGCGATGTTTTATAAGCCTGCCGCCTGCTAGGAGTTCCGGTATCAACAATGTCTTCTTGCTGTGATGCTGTCGTGGGTGCGAGCTGGTACGGTTGGAACTAGCGGGCAGCGGCAACGATAGAATAGCTGTAATCAACAAATTATTATTGTAGCCGACTAGCCGGCCGTATTAGGGTATACCATTTGGCGTCGAACTGTCGACGTGATGCGAACCGTTCCTGGCATCGTCTGGTGGAGTCGTGGGCGGCACTGCAATTTCTTTCTTTCTTCATCTTGAGCCGGTTCTCCATCTTCAGTTAATTAACCCCAGGAGAAGGCAATCGCTCCATTAAGTAGATAAGATGTCACTATAGGTTCTTTTTTTTTTGCCGGGGGTCACTATAGGTTCTTGTTCGGCCATAATTTTTTCCTTCATAAAATCTCAAAGAACCGGAATTTTTTTACAGCCCTTAATTCCTTATCTGTTACTACGATGCTATCCTCTGATTTTTTTTTTGACAGTTAAATTTGTCTCTCGTTAACCAGGTAAGAACGAACACATCGTATACAGAACAAACTACTAGTGCGGTTGCATGCATGCGTTCTCTTGGGTACACCCAGACTACATATACTCCGTACAATTGTACATACGTCTTCGGCCAGTGCGCTCCTAAAATATGAGGAAGAGGAGGCTGAGGAAACCAGGCAAAAAATAAGCTCAAGAATAACCGTGTCAGTTGCTAAGAACACATGCATGCATGCCTATTTTTGCCTCCTTCTGACCCTCTCCGCTCTCCGACCACCGTTAAACCATCCTAAGGCTACCAAGAGCGCGACCATCCTAACCCTGCTCCTAACCACTCGTACTCCAACCATCCTGACCTATAAAATCCTCTCCCAAGCATCGATCATCATCAAGCTAAATAAGACTTCCAAGTCCCAGCTAATAAAACCGAGATCAATAATCCCCCGCCATCTCGCCGGTCTCCACCGCACCACCATCCGTCCGAAATGGAGATGAAGAAGATCGCCTTCGCCGCCCTCATCGCCGCCGCCTCGGCCACCGCCGTCATGGCCTCCGAGGCCGCTCCTGCCACCAGCGACGCCTCTGAAGTGGCAATCGCCCCCGCCGCCCTCGTCGCCTCCCTTGTCGCATATTTCCTCTACTGAAGCAGCGGACAGTAGGGGAGGAGTTAATTACTAGCATTGCATTGGCCGCATGTGTGTATACATGCGAATGATGTGGTGTAATTTTTATCATTTTTGTATTGATGAGCACGGTTAACCGCTGATAGGTACGTGATACATGTACTTGTATCCGGTGGATGCTTAACCGTGCTGAACATGTTCATTTTTTTGGTCAGATCACATCAACTTGTGTAATTGTTGTGATTTGTTTTATTTGTTGAATTCAATGTTTTCTAGTTCACTTTCATATTTCGCGTTGATCCTCCTGTCATTTTAATGTCCTTCGGTCAAAAATGAGGAAAAAACTGGGCGAATTTCTGCACCGTAAGAAGACCAATTCTCTCTATATCACTCTCAAACGTTTTGTTTCCTGGATAGCGCTGCATGACAATTTTTGGGTTGCACTCAAGCCATTCCAATATTCTATTATTTTCTTCTCTATAAACATTCAATTTACTGCTATTTTAAGAGCACTCATTAGAGTTTAAAAGATCATATCATGTGTAAACTAATCCTCTCTACTTACTACCTCTAACTAGTTCAACCACCACAAAACTGGGACTTGGTAACCCCTTGCCAACTGTTAGGCGTGCAACCAAGGTTTTTAATTTCGGAAAGAATATAATTTCGGACCTCGCTTAAATATGCAAAAATTCAGAAATTTAACGTATTTCGGAAATTATTTTTGCGTTTCAGATTTCAAATTTCACTTAATTTTAATGAATTCTAACATAACTTACTTTTTTTGAAATCATTTCGAATATGCCTCAAAATTTTGGAGTTAAAAATATTTCAGACTCCACTGAAATTTCGTTGAAATTTTTAACTCTGCTTGCAACGCATAAATTTTCTTATTTTTCTTGAGCAAAAAGGAAATTAAATTATCAGTAGTGTTATCTGGCGAACGTCAGCTGGGAGGGGGATCGCAAGTGAGCGATTTTCCTCACAGTTGTAGTTGCTTCGCTAGATCTAACGATGAGAGTAACGAAAATGCCTTCTTCTGAAGAAACCACCTTGTTGTTTACAATAAGTTGTCATCCCCTCACAAATAAAACTGGTAGCGAAATCGTTTGAAATGCCATCCCTTCCAGCGAATGTTCGCCAGCTAAGAGAGTCCTAAGTTTTGGACATCGTTTGGTCAGCGCCGTTCGGATTGGATAAGCAAGCCCGGGAAGTTTGTCAAGTCATTAGTTGTAAACCCGTGTAGTTCTTTGGTCTCACGCACCAATGATCTCAATCCACCCGGGTAATTAATCATGGTAATCCCAACTGGAAACCACCAGATCAATACAGTCCCTTGTGAATCCAGCAAACCTTACATGCGATCGGTTACAAAGGAGAACACAATCCCCATGCGTACGAGTACGAGGCGTCACAGCGAGCATGGAGGGGACTAATCACGCAATAATAAGCACTGGTAGTACGTAATTAACCCGATCAACCCACAGCATGGAGGGTATCATCGTTTCTTGCGGAGTTTGGCGATGCCTTCCTTCACTTTGTACCAGACGCACTCACCAATCCTGTAGAACAGGACGTAGCCGCAGATGTACAGGCCTTCAAACACCTCCTGCGCGGCGCTCTTCCTCCTCGCCACTTCCTCGTCTCCCTGCTTCCCCTCGGCCTCCCCCGGCGCCTCCGGCTCGCCCTCCGCGGCGCCGTCGTTCGTCCTCGCCACGGGGGAGCTCCACGGCCTCTGCTCGCCGCGGGTCACATGCCGCAGCGGCGACGAACTAGGCGCGACGGAGGCGACGCCGGGGAGGAATTTGCAGCATGCCGCCTTGTTCGGAACCGCCGCGTTCAGAGCGCCCCTGTTCGGTTCGGTGGGGATCGGAGACAGTCGGAGAGAATTGATCCCCCGTGACCCCATCCAGTAATTGTCTCCAGTCCCATTAGAGACAGGATTAGCCGAACGAGCCCTGAACTGGAGTGGAATGGTTCTGGAGCACATCTTGGCGGGGGAAATTTGTTTGGCAGCTGACAGTCGGCAAGGCATTCAGCTGATTCAGGTTACATGACTCCATGGCGGATCGGGTGCTTTTTATACTAGTATGAATATCTGATTAGCCGGGTGAATCAGAGCCGATTAGTGATAACCGGAAACCGCCTTGGCGCGGGGCTGAGCCTGACAAACACGTCGGTGTTTACAAGGCGGTGCTAGTCCTTCGTAGTTTGTTTTCGTATATTGAGCATGAGATGGTTGATGACATCGGCTGGTACTTGACGTCGAATGCCCTGTCAAGAAACCCTTTCACTAGTGAGTTTGTGTTATTGAAAAAGTTTGTGTTCGATTTTTAGCACTGAATCCATTTTGCGGAGAGGCGAGAATCTAACACATTTCACCCCAGGTCTTTTGTGAGGTTCCGTTATAAACTTACAATAATGCCATTTGAGAATCTCCATGGTAATCCTTCTTTTTGTTGTTGGGATCTCCATGGTCGAGCTGAATGTTTCTGGCTTACGCACACCGTTCCGAGTTTTGACCGCCCCCTTGCATAGAATATCTAACTAAACTCATTTTCTGAGATGTAGGAGAGCTAAATTTGGACAGTTTTTTTTTTTGAGACAAGCTAAATTTAGACAGCTACAGACTACAGTACCAGTGCAGTGTAGTTTATCCCTTCAAGCTCGGCGGGGAGCATCGATTTTTCAGTTTGCACAAGGAAGTAATATGGGCCAACATATTAACTGAGGAGTAGTAGCCCATACATTACCAATACTAGAAGAACGTCCGTGCATTGCAACGGAGCCACATTAACTTTAAAAATTCAATATCAATTATGTTAAAATTTCATTTAATATTCTCATACATATTAAGTGACATTGACGACCTTTTTTACCATCAAATTCACACACACACACTCTTTCCCTCCCTCTTCCTCACTCTCTCTCCCCCTCTCCCTCACTCGGAAGGTGGGACGAAAATAAACCCGTAACGGAGACTACCAACTGAGGCATTAGGAGTAGAGATCATTTAGTTGATAAGAATAAATAGAAAACGGTGTTAAAAAGGAAAAACAGATTAGAATATATTGAAAAACCAAAAAGACGATGTAAAAGGGGATTCGCCCTGCCCCCCGGGCCTTGCCACCGAACCGGCTCAGTGGTCCAGTCACCGCGCGGCCGTCTTCTCCTGTTCCCCTAGCCACGTCGCTATAGAGCCGGGCTCCCGCCCGACCACCTCGCTGGCATCGAAGGGGAATGGATAAGGGTGACACCCTTCCTTCCCTGCCCCCATGGCCTCACTCCTCCTCGACGCCCCTCCCAAATCCACTTCTCCTCCTCGCTCGCTCGATCCCGTCGATCTGAACGAAGTCAGACGCCATGGCCACCATGACCGACCCCGTCCACATGGCCACTGCCCTCCCTGCGGGCTAGGAGCTTGTCGAGGAGCTCCAAACGCCTTTCGCTACTTCATCTGCGCCAACGAGATCAAGTCCAGCACCCCCGCATCGACGTCGCTGCCGTCTTCCTCAACCTTGGGCCACCGCGACATTGCCATCCGATCCGCGCCGCCCCGAGCTCCCATGTCTTCCCCTAGGGCGCCATTGACACCGCCATGATCTCCTCTTGCCTTTCCCATGTTTCCCCTCTCGTTTGCTCTTGTTAGGTATTTCTCCGTGGCCGAGAACCGCCGTCCGCCATGGCCATTGCAGGGGTAGCCACCGAGCTCCTCGGATTGACCCCGTGGCACATGCCCGCTCCTATGCACGCCCATGCCCGAGCCTGTCGCTCT